ACTCTTTTCTCTGACGGAGATGGACTCGTTGTGTTGTATTTGGAAAAATAAAAAAAAGAGCGAGCATGCGGCTAGTAAATNTGTGCCCGTTGGAAGGACCAGGAACCAAATTTTGAAAAAGAGCGAGCATGCGGCTATTTTTTATNCTTCCTTTGGCCGTCGACCTGCCTCCATGTAGTGGGAGGCTACCCCCCCAGGCTGGTGGTGCGGCCGTTCCACTAGTAGTCTATNCATGAGAGGTATAGCGAGTGCCTCTCAGTCATCGCGTTGGCCGTGCTCTGCTTGTGTATGGGACATGATGATCTTTTCGTCGTGATGAGCTCTGTTGGTCTGCTTCGTCTCGAAGAATATCATGAGCTCGTAGCAGCGACGACGCTCCCTGGGGTGGCTTCTATGCCCAACTTCATGGATGTCATCGGCGGCTTCGACTTCTGGGAACTCACCAGGTTCGAGAAACGGCACTTCCGTCTGCTTGTGGAGTTGCTGGAGCTGCCGGAAATGATCGAGATTTACAGGTAACAGCAGCAGTATATGATGTGTTGTNCTTCCGTCTGCTTGTGGAGTTGCTGGAGCTGCCGGAAATGATCGAGATTTCCAGGTAACAGCAGTGTAGCATCAGTATATGATGTGTTGTACCACGCTGCTGCTGTAAGCTGGTTATTAATCCCGTCACCGACACCACGGAGTTTTACAGCAGTGTCGACCCCGACGTGAGATATGTAGAGTGCCTCATATGCTTGAAAAGAGTAGCACGGCAGTGACTCTCGGCCTTGCGTAGGGTTAACAGGCCACGGCCACCCTCAACCCTACAGCAGTAGACCCATGAATATGATGCCCGCACGATTTCAGAAGGAGAGCACGTAATCATGCCGCATATCATATGTTTTTGCTCCGCAGCATGTATGCATACATCAGTACGCACAGCGGTTGGCGGTATCTTGTCAAATTTGTTTGCTTGAAGTGCCCTGCAAACAACACGGCTGACGACCGACTGACCGTCCATCCTATAACGTTCATCCCCACCGTGCCGATCTCATATTCGACCCCGGATTTGTGTTCATGTGTCCTGCCGGTCGTCGCGATTGTACTACATACCATTGCAGAGGAGGGTTCGGCGTGACGAGGATCCCTATCCAGCTGGCCCTGGTCGTGACCTTGTGGCGGCTGTCATGTCCGACGACGTTGATCCGGGATAGACTGTTCTGGGGGTTATCGGAGTCCAACGTCTGCGAGATCTTCAACCTCACCATAGAGGTTATTCACGAGCGGTGGGGGTACCTTGTAGAAGAGTTACAACACCAAGCGATCCTGCCAAAGATTGACGTGTTCTGCCAGGCCATCTGGGATCGCGGTGCTGCTCTTGACAGGTGCTGGGGCTTTATCGACGGTACAATACGCGCCATAGCTCGTCCGTGGCGCATGCAAAGACTGTGGTACAACGGTTGGAAGCGGAAGCACGCCTTGAAATACCAGGCTGTAGACACACCGGACGGTATGATTCGGCAATTGTGGGGTCCCATGCTTGGTCGTCGCCATGACGTGGCGATGTTAGGGGAGAGTGGACTCATGCAGACACTGCAGCAGTGGTTCAACGACGCTAATGGCCTTCCGTACTACATATACGGGGATCCCGCGTACCAGCTATCCCCATGGCTGATGGCCCCCTACAAGGGCGTGTTGACGGAAGCCCAAGAAATGTTCAACACTTCAATGAGCTCGTGCCGCGTAACCGTAGAGTGGGGGTTCGGGAAGATCGTCGCCTTGTGGTCCTACGTAGACTACGCGAAGAAGCAGCAGGTCGGCCTCAGTGCATGCGGCCTTGGCAAGCAATACGCAGTAGCAGGGCTTCTGACCAACTGTCACTCGTGCTTCAACGGCAATTCGACGTCGAAGTACTTCGGCGTCCCCACCCCGACGCTGCGAGCCTATCTTGCGGGTGAGGGTTGAAGGAGGGCTGTGGTAGTTTTCCCCCTTTTTGTCTCCCGTTCCGTGTTATGTTTCTGGTATAGTTCTTCTGTAATGTTGATGCAAGCAGATCTCTCAGGGTTTACTTGCTTCTGGAGGCTTTTAAACCATAGTCAAGAAGAGGAATTTTGACACTGTTCGCTCTCGCGCAGCAAGGGATGGATGGCCCCGTAGCGTAAGGCTTGACTTATCCTCCCTTATTGCCTTGCCACGTGTCGTAGTTGGCCGTGGGCCGGGAGTGCGGGGTTGCTCTTTAATGTAGTGACAACAAGCAGAAAACCAAGTTCCGAAGTATACCGACGGCAATACGAACCACATGATTTATCTCGCAACCCATGAATATGAATGCCCTCCCTACTTTGAGCACGAGTGCGTGTGCCCAGTTGGAAGGGTAAGTGTGGAAGTTTCGGGTCACCAGAGGGCCTAGACTCCAGCACGCTTCCAAAACATCGTCTGTCGAGCAGACGCAGGCAGTCGCATGTTCCAAAATAAATGATCTTTACACCGGTCGCCACACGGCAACCACACATTCAACCTCTGCAGACTCAGCGACAGTTGGAAGATGACACGCGACGCCCAAGCGTCTTGCAAGTAGAAGCATGAAGTGATGTCTTTGGCACGGGTAGGGCCCGTCTGAGCAGTGCCTGGTGGCAGAGATACGTTAGACATTCGGAGCGATGGCTCGAAGGTCGTAGGTGCTTCTTCGCCAAAGAAGGGCCTGCAACCGCCGAGCCATATCTCCGGAGGTCTAATGATACATCCACCACAGGACAGACTACTGCGGCAGTAGCGCCCAGCAGAGGCTTAACCCTACAAAACAGGACACCAACCCTAGACCAATGCTAAGCGAACCGAATCTACCGCAACGAAACCCTCGGCTACACAGAATCCAACATGGATGAGATGCCAAAAAATCCCAATGTGAGTTCATCCTCACATCCTCACGGTACCCCAAATGTAGGTCCAACATCAGACCTGCCCCCGCGTCCATGTACGTCGTGAAATTCGCACATCAAACTACGTGGACGCTAAAATGCACTTCGTTTGCCCCTGGTATCGAGAGGTGTCGACGCCGGTAGGAACTAGCAATAAAAAGTACTCCCTAGGGAGAGCAAAAAAGAGCAAAAACCCACACAAGGAGATGCGTGCCGCTTTCGCGCCTGGCGCTCACTCCCGATTGCTGTCGGAAGGCAAGGCACAATCAGGCGATGGACACGACGAAATAATTGACCAAGCACGCAGAATATTCACCAACAAGGTATATCATCAAACACGAAAGAATCGAAATTTCCAGGTTACGTGTCCATCACAACGTGGGGGGGAACACACCTATCTATTTGACCATGACGGCTGGCTAAATGGGAGAAACAATAAACCACTTGTGTGTGTGTGTGTGTGGGGGGGGGGGGTTCCTACCCCTACCCGCGGACACGCATCAGGCCGAAAACAAGGTGTAACACAAAAGGGGAAAGGGTTCTACTGCAAAAAAAAAAGAATAATGAAAGTACGGACAAACATAACAATGACAACAGTCCCACGCCCACACCGTCTTGTGTACTGAGGCATTGCGGTGGACCACCGTCATAGAGAATAGAAATAATAAACACTAACAACGTGGTTCGCAAACTGGACGAAAAACCTAATGCTACAGCTTGATTTGAACCTACGAAAGCAAAGACAAACACAACCAAACGCCAGACACGAGAGGCCCGCAGGTCATACTCCGAGTTCACCAGATTCTGTTCCAGCATCCCGGCTACTGCCTCTTCTGGAACGTTTGGCAGCTGTCCTGCCAGACCCAGCTACCCCTCCAGTGCTTGTTTGGGCTCCGCTAGCCCCGCCCACCCTTTTCCGAACTTGAAGGGTCTGGTTAACCCTAATCGCCGATGACTGCGTCGGTGCCATCGCCCCTTGCCCCGATGCCCGTGCCCCGCCGTCTCCAACGGATCCGGCAGAGGCGCCTCCTCTCCCCGCAGCACGATTACCCGCTCCCCGCTCCGCTGAGAGGAAGCCAGGAAGTTCGGCTTGGCCCCCAGCGGTGGTTGAAGGAGGTGGAGCCGTTCGCGGCGCGCCCACTGCACCCTGTACCCGCCCGCTCGACCCCCCTCCACCGCCGAGTCCCGTGCCGCCAGACTGCGGTGGCCAGGGTCCTACAGGGCCTGGGTACATCGCCGAATGGAACCCAGCCACACCGAACTGAGGTGCGGGTTGCTGCATTGCATTGCTGCGCCCGACCAGCTCGAGGAGCTTGTCAAGCTTCCCGTTCTGGTCCTCAACCTTGGCCTCCATACGGTCCAAGCGCGCGGAACTAGCGTCTCCCGCTGAGCCCCCAGCTGCCAGCCGGGCTGCCCGCTCCTCTCGTTCTTCCCGTCGCCGCTCTTCCTCCCGTTCGTCACGCCTGAACAGGTAGTCGAAACCAGCGGCAAGCTGCTCGTGCACGGAAGCGTTAGCTACTTCCGGATTGCCCCGGAACACCTGATTCCTTGCCGACCCATTGGCGCCATCCCGGTACTGGCGCCCGAGCTTGCCCCCGGACAACATCTGCGCTTCCTCGTCGTCTGCGGCTGCAAGGTCCTCCACCTCTTCCTCCCAGCCGCCTTCCTCTGGCAGGAGATACACCGTCAGCTCTCCAGCAGCAGCTGCATCCAACGCGCCTCGGCGGGGCGCGAAGTATTCGGCTCTCTCCCAGTCCTCAACAGGGTCGGTGCGCCAGTGATTCGACGCACCTCTGGAACCACTCCCACCCGGCCTACCGCCCGTGCTGCTCGTGCCACCACGTCCACGCCCGCTGGCGCCACCGGCGCCACCGGCGCCACCGGCGCCACCGGCGCCACCGGCGCCACGACCACCGGCGCCACGGCCACCGGCGCCACGACCACCGGCGTCACGTCCACCGGCGCCACGGCCACCGCCGCCGCGGCAACCGGCGCCACGGCCACCGCCGCCGCGGCCACCTCTCAGGGAGAACAGATCCTCGGTGTTGCTGTTGCTCATCGACCCGGCCCACTCAGCGTGTTCTTTCCCCACCTTGCCCTTGCTCATGCCCTGCTCCTTCGCATACAGGTCGTACTGCACAGCGAGAGCTGTGTGGTGTTCCTGGTGCATTTGCAAGGGGAGTTGAGCGTACGAGCAAGGTTAATGCGCTGTCGATCGCGACGGCTGACGGTTTCCACGCACTCCAACATGTGACGATACCCACTTTCCGCTATATTTCTTCGCTTTGAATGTCGAGCTAAACCTTGTGGACCAAGAGCAGCAACTGGCGCAAGAGAACAGCCTATATATATCAATCCCGTACTTACCGCTCTTGCCGTAGGCATCTTCACTCGTCCGGTATAGCCTAGCCCAGGGGCACCACCGCCAAGACAACAAAAAAACAACACGCCAACCTAGTAATCCAAAACATATCGAACAACTACACACACACAGTCGCGATCGCGTAACACCACCCAAACATTTGGATTCCATTCCTAACCATCAAAAAATAATTGCAAGCGAGAAAAACACGATATCACACACACAGAATACGGTACGCGGGGAGAACAACACGTTGCTTTATCCAAAACAAACAGAACAACGACTGCAGACGAGGTTGGGGCGGAATCAAAGGACAAGGGTGTAGGGTCAAGATCCTACGAGGGGGGAGAGACACACCACCGAAAACAACAAGCAAGGCCGGAAACACAGGCCCACCGTTCGTACTCTAATCCTACAAGCCAACTCACCAACGAGCTCTTCTCGGCCTCCTCGCTGGGCTCCTTGGGGTCCTCTGTCCCTTCTCCCGTTTTCTTGAGTGCATCCTTTTGCTCCTTCTCGATCTTCTTCTTCGCTTCGCGTAAGAGGCGCTGACAGGTGTCCACGAGCTTGTCTATGGCAACGGTATCCTGTTCAGATGAGGGAGGGAGAGATGGAGCGAGTGGGGGCCGGAGGGATAAGTACAGGTATTGGTGACACGACTCTAGAGGCACGCACATGCAAAATAAAATATGTGTCTCGGGCACACAGCACTAGGCACGAAGTGAGGAGGAGAGCTCGTGCGCAACGGAAGCAGTACAGCAGTACGTCGGCCAACCCTACTGCTCTTGCGACCATCAACCTTTGGCGGGAGTAACCAGAGCCTAACCTAAACCCATGACAAGGCAGGAACAACATTGCGCGACCGCGCCCGGACGCTAATGAGCGCTGGGACACGACACACTGGCATGCAGGAACGACACGTCATCCCCAACCTCGGTCAACGCGGGCGGATACACGACAAACATATGGTAACGTACAACAGTCTCGCGACTCGAATCGCTGCACTTCCTTCCTTTGGTTTTAGCTCCTCACGTCTTCTTTCATGCACTGCCCATTGTGACTAATACGAAAACAGTTGGGGTGAGCTATGTAGAAAGGAAGCTCTAGGGTTGATGTGTGTGGCCTACTATAACGGAACGGGTGGGCATGTTTCATGAAGCAGTGGTGCTTCGTTTTGTTGTTGTTGTTCGAATTGTTGTTGTTGTCGTGTTTCTCACTTTAGCGTCATAAGAACCACAAAAAAATGGGGAGCCCGTGGTCGCAGAAAACCCCGGCACACACGACCCAACGGAAGAAACGAAAACAAAATAGGTTACAAAAACCACTCCCCGAAGAAATAAAAATGAGAGAAAGAAAGACCAGCTACAGCAGTACCGTATCAAGTGAGAAAGAGCCTCGAGACGACCGATCAAAACAAATTTAAACGGACAACGCTTCCCACACCCGCCTTACAACGCCGGTTCCGTGCCGGATTCCCGCCGACCAGGCACTCCCAGGTGCACGGCACTCCCAGGGAGTGCAGCAGGACCGGGGGGGGGGCGAAAAAAAAATAAAATAGTCCCAACAAATATTTAAAGGACAACGTACCGCACCAAGTACTACACGCCAGAGCATTGGAGTAATGGAGAAAACAGAACAACGAGGCAGATGAGAAGGCAGGCCAACAAAATTCAAATATTGTAGAAAGAGGGGAAATCGAGCTGCCCAAGCAAGAGCGCAGATTAGGCAGGGAGAGCAGGAAAGAAATGATGCTCATGTGCTTTAGTGGAAGATGCATCCCACCCCGAACTCACCCGTCCACGCTGGTAGTCGACCGTAACCACTGTCACTTCGGCGTCCTCCGTGACCGTGACCTCTGTTGGGATCAGCATCCGCTTCACGATAGCCGTCCAGACACGAGCCCTGGCCTTGGTCTCCCGAGTCCCCTCCGGTGTGTACTCCTGNCCCTACAAAGCCGGGACGGAGCACGCCGGGTTCTCACCGGACCAGGCTCTGCAGGNGGCAGGGAGAGCAGGAAAGAAATGATGCTCATGTGCTTTAGTGGAAGATGCATCCCACCNCAACGTACCGCACCAAGTACTACACACCAGAGCATTGGAGTAATGGAGAATACAGAACAACGAGGCAGATGAGAAGGCAGGCCAACAAAATTCAAATATTCTAGAAAGAGGGGAAATCGAGCTGCCCAACCAAGAGCGCAGATTAGGCAGGGAGAGCAGGAAAGAAATGATGCTCATGTGCTTTAGTGGAAGATGTATCCCGAACCGAACTCACCCGTCCACGCTGGTAGTCGACCGTAACCACTGTCACTTCGGCGTCCTCCGTGACCGTGACCTCTGTTGGGATCAGCATCCGCTTCACGATAGCCGTCCAGACACGAGCCCTGGCCTTGGTCTCCCGAGTCCCCTCCGGTGTG